TAAAGCTATACAGGTGTTTTTAAAAGTCATGTTTGACTTCATGCTTTTCTGTATAGTTACTGGGATGCTTAGAACTCAAATGACACTGTTGGAAATAGTTTATTCTGATGCACATGCTGTTTTTTTGCAAATTTGCATTATAATATTTATTTCGTTTTTCCTGCACTATATATAAAAAATGATGTATCTCAAAAAGAAAACTATGAAGACACTTAAAATGTAAATTAAATTTCCTGTGGTTGGAAACTATTTTGTGCAACTTTTTTGCATGTACAGTTTTGAGAGATATACCTCTGAAATTTCTCTAACTAGAAATATGTGTAAAAAACAAAAAGAAAACAAAAACGATTTTCAATTTTTTTTGTAGTTTTTTGCACTTTTATTTTTTGCAATTTATGTAGTTACCATGGCCTTAATGCATATTAGGGATGGGCCGATCCGATATACAGTATCGGTCCAATCCTGACCTAAATTACTGGATATCGAGGAGAAAAAAAAACGTAATCCGATCCATTAAATATCACAAAAGCACCTCAAAAAACTTGCGACGTGGCATAACTCAGGTAGTGACCTTAGCATGTAGGAGCAGTATGCGTCACGTGATAAAATAGCTGTTGTGTGCGAGACCTGTCGGCGGTCTGGAGTTGACGCTGAAAGCATCTGGAGTCTGGTTTGAAAACTTTTTTTCATATTTGTGTTTTGTATAGAAATTACACAAAATTCAGTCTCAGGTTAAATGTGATAGAAACAGCTTACACTGACATCCATCTTGATAAAAGATGAGTGTCATGAGAAGCCGAGTTTATATTTATTTGCACTGCTTTCCACTCTGGGTGTCTATTTATGTTAAAGAACTTTGAGTCAACCTCTGTTTTTTAACCCCTTAGCAGTCCAATTAGTCCCCTAAACCATCCAATGTACCGTGGGCGGTACGTCCGACTGCTAACAGGTTAAATGTTCTATAGGATATAAATACAACACACGTGACAGTCAACACAAAACTTTTATTTCTAAAAAGTTTATTAATTTAACACTATTCAACAAGCTACATACTAAACGTAGCGAATAGAAGCAAAGTATCGATCCAATTGTGCAAGTATCGATTCAATACCAATACCAGCGCAGGTATCGATGCTCTTGATATACCTTAAATGAATATGCTTAAGTATGTCGGGGTCTTCTTCACCTGTAAAGGGAATATTGGCCAGATGCAGACTCTGCTATATCGTAACATGAAGTGGCTCTTCTACTTTCCTATTGTTACTGCATATATCTGAACAAATGTGTGCATGCCTTTGCTTAACTACCTTTTGACCAGTGAAAACTGCGCTGTCTCCTCTTCCCTATTTCTTGCTTCTTTTCCAGCAAGGTGCAGCAGCAAATAATAATGTTGGATTTCCAGTGATAAGAACTTCCACAGTTCTTGAATGGAAGAAGTTTAGGGAGCTCATCTCAAGGTGAGATACTGTAGCGACGCTGTATTTATATTCATTTCAGTACACATTGTGCCTGCTGTATTTCCCCTGCAAGGGATATCCTGACTTTGAAAACTAGTTTTCAAGTCACATTTGCACCTAAAGCAACATTTAAATTCCACATCAATTTACACTGCAACACTTAATCTCACATATTTTAAGCTGTAGCCTCAACGCTGCTTTCCTCATAAAGAGAAATATGTTCAGGTGTTTGCGAGGCATAACTCAGCTAAAGTGGTTACAATTTCCAGTTTTCAGAAAGTCATTAAAAGTAACGAGACAATAATGAAAAACACACTTTCTTTTTTTACAAAAGCAATTAGCCTTTTTTAATTTTACATTGCATTGAAAATTTACATAATAGAGTCATACATTTTACAAATTATTTCATCATAAAAATATATTTCTGTACAAAACACTTTTTTATTCTATATTTCATCTTTTTTTTTTTTCTCAAATGGTGAATATTTCCAATGTCCCCCAGGCAGGAACGGCTTTAAGTCTTTCAAATCACAAGGGTCTTATTGCGGTCAGTCAGTAGGAAAAGCTTGTGGCAAAATAGACTGAAGCTTAGAAAAAAATGACCTCTGATGATGAGTGAGGGGAGCAGAGGGCGCTGGAGCAGGTGTGTGTGTTTGTATGTATGCATGTGTGCGTGCGTGTGAGACAGAGCGAAAGGGAGGGTCTCGTGGTTTTTGGTAGGCACTGTGTCAGATTCATACTGAAGAAACGGAAACAAAAGCAACAACAACAACCACAAGAGCGGTAACAATCAATCCGACCTGTAATAAGAAACGATGTCATGATAGCGATGAAGTGCGGCACAGTCACAGCATGGATAAACAAGGAAGCCGCAGCTACCTTTGCCTTTAAATCAGTAACGACTTTAAAAGGAGTTTTCTTGTCAGCTGGATGTGGTTGGCGCCTGTGGTCACAGCAGCGGGGGTTCTTAAAACAAAGTGGATGTTTTTGTTCACCCTGGCACCCAGACTCATTAAAAAGTCTAGTTATCCATCATGTGCGGGACTCCAAAACTAACAAAATTCAGCCTCTCGTTCGTGAAACCAGATTCTTCAAAAAGAAAACAACAAAAACAAACACTTTTATTCAATGAGCAACAAAGCTGCAAAACAATGACTAATGCTGATTGATACTTCTATTTCTGCCTCCTGTTAAGACCAATTAATATGGTTTACTACCAGGCCCTTCCCTCGTGATAGTTGATTTACTCTGAAAGGTTTCATACAAAAACTCAAACATCTACTCATCTCTCAGCAGTGGTTCATTTATGGTACATGAAATCATTAGAAAGGCTGATATCAAGTGCAACAACAGTGGCAGATAGGGGCAAAATATAGAAAACGTTGCAGAGTGTTTATCAAAAGGTGGCAGATCACACTGGAACAACAACAATCACAACAAAAAATAAATAAATATATAAAATTGAGATCATATGGCTGCTTTTATGCAATATGCATGAAATAAGAAAAAAACAAAACAAGCGTTGGCTTCAAATAGTCGAGCATTATGATAAATGGGTCAGTTCATGATTATAAATAGATTATAAGATTTGACATTCACTGAACACAGACATGTGTGTCATTAAAATCTGTCTGTTGTTGAGCAACACTCATGTTGGAGACTTGTAGTGCCAAAGATAATGCAAACCTTTAAACCTAAAGAGTCAAATGGGGTCTACTGATTTAACATGATGTGGATGTTAGAAAACGGGCAAAATAGATTGTAAGATCACCTAAAGACGATCAGGTCTGTCTGTGGTGTGATTCTGATTCACACTGAAGGCATCCTGAGTAAGATACTGAGACACGAAAGAAATCCATACGTAGGGTTCAGATGCCATGTGCGCTGTGAGCTGAATATATTTTTTAATAGTAGCTTTGCTGCATCACTTTACAAGAAGGCCATCAAGTTGTCTATTTAATCATATTTTCCTCATATATTGTCCTTAAAACATGTTTTGGGCTTAACAAAAAGCATCATCTATTTGTTGGTGCACCAACTATCAAACAACATCTACTAATAATATGTAATTTAAGTAGTCTTTAATTTATACACACTTTATGTAGCAACAGACACATTTAGCTGCCACAAGTGAGATATAACGTCCTGGTTCCTGCAGATTAAACTGTGTATGTTTTGCAACTAAATAAAATTTATTTAAAAATTGTCATAATTTTGAAATGTATTGAAAAACAGATCCTAAGTATTGCAAGTATTTGTTAATCTCTTTTATGTTTGTCCCGTTTCCTTATATAAAATATATAATAGAAACACAATATGACATGTTATGTAACTCAAATTTGATCAATATATCCATTTAAAAACTCAATTTTGGGCAATTTTATCAGTTTTCATTGTTAATAAGCACTTCAGCCCAATTGTATGTTTTCTTTTATTGTGGCCTTGTACTGTAAGAGATGATAAAAATATCCAGAGACGGAGCTGGATGAGAGTTTGTCTATCAAACAAATGGGCTCCATTAAAAGCTCGATTTTCTGTGTTGCCATGATGACAGAAAGGTTTGAAGTATACTACTAATCTATTATAGATTTAAAACATAACTAAATAAACAGCTATTTTTAAAAGTACAAGAGTTTTAATTCACTATTTTCTGTGTCCTCACTGCGCCAGCTAGTTCAGAAATCCCAGCTGTTACGCTGTCTTTAGCTTCACCCTTAAAATGTTGTTGGTGTGTCAGTGGAGATGATTACATATTTTTATTGTCCAACATCTCCAGTGCAGGATTCGGAAAAATGGCAAACAAGTACAAACTCTAACAGGTTTTGGAAATCTGCCACCTGTGATAAATGTAGACTAAAACCCATTTAAAAAGCATAATTGTTGCTGGCAAACCTTGCATCTCAACAGTAACGACAACAACAATACCACTGATGCTCATAATTGCCCCAGTGGGAAAGACGGTGCATGTGTGAGGGTCTTCAAAATACAGAACGAATTCAAATAAACCAGCTTAATGTTACAAAGAAACCAAAATACTGCTTGTGACTTCTGTGAATAGCACGTAATTATAATGTCTTTTATTCCGATGTTTCTTTCTTTTTTTCTAAAAACTCTGCTATAATCTGTCTTTACCCTTTAGCCCCTCCCCTGTGGTAAATATATAGCACAAAAATATAGGTGGTGAATGCTCCCGAATATATATATGCAATAGATTTACAGATCAGAAGATTCTGCAGCAGTAAGAAAGAAAGAAGATAAGCACTCTCAGAGTGCAGAATTACAGTGGAACAGTGTCCACAATTGTAGGGTTACAACCTTGTTGCCTTTCTTTTAGCCTGTCTATCAGTTCATGTCTGTCTCTGCCTCCTGTCTGTCCTTCTGTAAGCCTGTAAATCTGTGTTTAAACTGTCTGTGAAGTAGAGACATGGATGGAGCCTGCAACAGTCCGAGACCAGGCTCATCTTCTTTGAACCTGTCTGTCTCATTGCATGACTGTTAATACCACTTGTCTCTACCTGACTCTCCAGATTTTGTATGTGTACCTGTCATCATTTGTGTCTGTCATTCACCCTGTCAGTAACCTTTCCGTCCCTATGCTAGTCCATCTCTCAGCGGGCAGACAGGTAGTGTTCCCATGAAATGTGCTTTAGTGCCAGAGCTTTCTCTGTTTGTCAAAGTCTTTCTCTTTGTTAGTCCATCAGAGTCCTCTGTATCCATTTAGTGTCTTTCTGGTCAAAATCCATTTAAATTCGCAGGATCAGGAACATCTTACCTCATATTCTGTCTGATCTGATTCATTATGTAGAGGGAGGGCTGACCTCTCCCAGTAAATGATTTCAGGTTAGACAGGCTCTGATTGGCTGGGTTACAATTTCAAAATCTTCTTTTTTCTCTTAATGACTCCCTTAGTCTACTTCCAGTTCAGTTAGGGTCTGTCTCCATCTCCTTAGCCTCCTCTCTTATCCATTGGATGGGAAGAGGCAGTTTATCCTTTAGATGAGACAGTCTCTCATCCGTTCTCTAAGTGCTAGCTCCCCTTTAGACTCCTTTTAGTTTTGCTGTGCTCTAATCCCAGTTCAGTTAGGATTACAGCTCCATCTCCAAGGATGCCCTTATCCTTCGCTTAGGAGTTAGTCTCTTTTCAAAGCAACTTTCGCAACTGTCTGCTAACATTAGCCATCTTAGATCCCATTTCAATAGAAAAAAAGACAAATACTGGCTGGTAATACCAGCCTCTGGTTGTAATGGAGACAGGAGGTTGTCCTGTCTGGCTGTTAGGGTGTTGTATTCCATGGTTGTTTCAGACATAGTTTCCTCTTCACAAAGCATTAGTCCGGTTTACTGATGGTCTGCTGGTGACAGTGTTCTCTTTGTACTGTCAGTGTTGAAACCAAATAGATAGAAACAGTTTTCTTAACATCACAGTGTCTTTTATGACATCATCTTCATGTCACATCTCCCCATCTGTGGTCATTGTGATTACGTTTGTTCTTTTTTTTTCCCATATTTAAGGACCTGTTTAATACAGTCAGTTTGACAACATGTTACATATGAAAAATATTTTTTAGCGGATTATCTCTTTGATTTCCAACTACAGCTGGGCTCTGATGATGTGCGCTCTCTTTCTCCAGGCACAAGTGATCATAGATCCCACTCTGGGTCCTCTTCACAACTTTGTGTGACATACAAAATTTGGCATTGGGTTGTGATAACATGTCATGATGTCCAACTAGCAGGTCATGGCTTAATCATTAGTACTCATATTATAGATAGTGAGAGAGGTTAAATAAGAGGTTAGAGTATAATGGATGTATCTGGTTTGGAATCCAATTATAAAGAATCCGTGACCCGCTGAGTCTTGGGGTTAGAGACAGATAATAGCCAGTATGGTTTTCCATTCAATAGTATCCCTTTCCATCTCTTGATGTTACATCTCCCATTGAGTTCACACTGGCTGCTTGCTTCTATCAAAGGCAGCAGACCTTTTGTGTTCATACTTGTTCAAATTTCATTTGCGGATACAAAATGCTTTCAGTGACGGAAACCAATGCTGGGTTTTGGTTTCAGCTGGAGAGCTGGGTTCGATTAGGTTTCTGGACTGGGAATGAAGGTCTTTTGTAATCAGTGTGCAGACCATGTCGTTCATGGTGAAGTTTGCATCGAAGCACGGAGCTTTTGTCTTTCGTCGTCTCTTACCGGCCGTGGTCCCATTGGATATCTGAGTCATTAAATTCAAGTAAGGTCAGTCGATCCTCAAACCATGGTGCATACGGTGTTTAGATTTGGATCAAACCTAACAGCCTTCCCCTCCACAGCCTTGGCGTTGGTGTTGTACATGGGGTTCTCAAAGGCGGCCTGGCCGTTGTTGTTTTCATGGACTGAGCATCCTGTGTATTGTGTTTTTGGTGTGGTTCTGTGAAAAAAACAACAAAGAAAACCACACATATAAAGAAATCATAAATACACCATTGAAGAAGCAGAAATGCTCTAATTGCCTATTAATGTTAACATTACTGAGCAGCCAGTGGACAATACAGAATGCAGTCTTGAGAGTAGAAGCATTGTAAACAAGCCTTAAGAAGGATTAGAGAGCGTGTTGCACTTTTTAGGAAGCCTAGTGAGATTCCAATCAGCTCATCCAAAACTAATTCCTTCAGCAAGCCTTTTTTTTTTTAGATATTAACAGCAGAACAGAAGTTATTTGCATCTGTTAACAATGCGAACACAAGTCATTTGTGCTTAAACCATATCTCTGAAAAATCCAATTTACCACCTCCTAAACAGAGTTGTTTTGCGGCACAGTTTGCAACAGACAGTGACTTAACTGTCTTTGAGCACTGCAACAACCAAACCATTGAGTAAGGCATTGTTATCACGAATTAGACAGCTTCTTAAAATGTTAACAATGCCTTTTTACTTTTTGCACGTTGTTAATGGAAAACACAAATGAAACCACGATGCAATGACAGGAATGTATTCCTTTCAGCTGCTGAAATGCAGCTGAATGACACTTCAAAGGGATAAGTGCAGGTTTACTTTTTTCAACACATACCTTTGTTTGTAGAGATAAAAGCCAAAACCGGTAAAGATCAGAGCAAAGAAAGGCACCAGGATGGCGATAGCCACGGAGCTGCTGTTGGTACCAAGCTGGGGGGGTGGCGAGTTTTGACTCTCCGACATATTCAGACCTGCGACAAACCAGGAAATACACTGTCATCAAAGTGATTTGATACAACAAGAAATATTGTTGCGGGTTTGGAACAAAAGGCTTTCAAGCTGAGTTGTTCAGCAAATAACCAACCAAATTTTTATTAGTTGTAACTATGATAATTAAGGTAGGGGCTCTGGTAATTGGAAGTGGACGTGGATGCTACCAGATAATGATTATTATCTGCTTAGCATCTTGCAGGCGACTTGCAGCTCACATTGGACTCGGGAGCTTGTAGTCTTCTTGCACAGCTCCAACCTTTTAAGTCTAAAGAGCAGCTTTTCCTGCTCTGCAGTGTTGAGAATGCACTGCATGGCTGTCCCTGTTGCAGCAATAAAGTCACTAGAAGCTCCAAGATTACTTACTGAATTAGTTTGAAGCAGTCTGCCTGATTTTACTATCAATTGTAGTCATTCATTGCTGAATTCCAAAGGAGCCAGTATTATTTGGTGCTGCTGGCAAAATCGAAAGAGAATTACCCAATCTTTGCAGTCCAAACTGTCCATAGTCTTTTCCCTGAATAGAACCCTGGAATACGTAACTAGAGCCATCGGGCTCTGCTGATACCTGTAGATTAAAAAGAAAGAGCGGTTGAGAAATTGTTTAGGCGGGAGAGGAAAGGAAAACAACTGTGAAGAGAAAAACAGAGGGACAAAGAATGGTTATCTTCTGGTTCCATGTCAACACTACAGAGCAAATGAATCGAAGATGATGTTTGGGTTTTGCTGAAATCTTTGTATAAGGTGTATTTTCAGGGAGCCTTGTTTATTTTCTTTTTCCTCCTTTGGCAAGATTTCACAAAAACTACCAAAGCGAATGTCGTGAAACCTGGTGATGAGGTGGTGCATGGGCAGGCAAAGGGACACATTAAATGTTGGCTCCGATCTGGAGGGCTGTCTTTAAAATTGCAAGAAAGAACATTGGCCTTGGCAGAGAAGGTAGTCTCTGATAGCTGATGTAGTTTAAATATTTCACTGACTTATATTTACACAAAGTCAAATGGCTTCAATGTAAATCCAGCTCAACTGAATATGGTTAGGTTGATTTTATCAGCTGGGACTTACAAATCCATCCATGGTCCAGGAATCATCTATAATCTTGGCGGGAGAGATGGCTGAATCTTTTAGTTGGTTTCCCTGGTTCACATAATTCACCTGATACATCAGCAGCAACAGCCTGGCCTCGGACGCCTTGTACACTCCTAGAGGGCGAAGAATAAACACGTGATTTATACTTGGTTTGCACATGGTACATGGTTTAATGGCTTGCTCACTATAGCTCATTAGATCCTACAGCACGTGTTTCTACTTTGTCTGGTGCACCAGCAAAATACATGTCGTTAGTTCTGACATTTTATCGGGATACAAAGAAGACAGCAAACTGAATGGAGCTGCAAAATAAAGAAAATGTTTATTTTAAAAAATGGATGATTTTTTTTTTTAAAGAGAAAACCAGGAAACTGAAGTTAAGCGAAGAAATTCAATTCATGAACTCATAAAAAGGTGAGAGCGACGGCTGTTTTTCATGTCTCCAATCTAATACAAATATAGCTAACTGATATATTCTTCCAGCTTCACTTTTGGAAATAAAATACAAAGTATGCACATTTCCCAAAACACCAAACCCCTGCTGCCTTTCAAAATATTCCCTGGGTAAAGAAAACTTGACATCTTAAACAGAAAAAAACATGCAAGTTTTATGTAACTGGCCACTGGCCTTTCTGTGACTGTGTGAGTGCAGCTTTAGCTGTTATTGATCTAAAGCTGCTCCTTTAAGCCAGAAGACGAATGTCTGATAGCGGCGCGGTTTTGTGATATGGTGTTTGTGCACTCTGCGACTCCAGGAAGCAATTCTAGCTTCAACAGGATTTGTGTTTTAATAGGGTCTTAACCCCCTGCTGACGCTATTGTGCGACCCTGGGAGGTATGTGTGTGAGTAAGTGTCTGTCTGAGTGAGTGAGTGAGTGAGTGAATGTGTGTGTACAACAACGCTGCAAAGAAGCATAGTAGAAAGAAATGAATTTCAATCATTAACAAAAAGCAACAATAAAGAATAAAAGTGCTCTCAATTCTGTTTGGTTGCTTGCTTACAGTTTTGCCAATGGATCAATACAGCATAATTTAGTATTATAGCTACATTTTATTACAACGATGGCCTGTCATGTCACAGCACTTATGTGGTAATCTACTCAAAGTGCTTTCAGTAGATTACTGAACAATTAAACCTAGCGTAACATGCCTGACAGGAGCAGTTCCATGTTGCCGTTGCTAAGGGTAACATTGACTCTCCCCGTTGTGGAGTTAAAGCTGGTGATGCTCAGTGTTATAGGCTGCTTCCTCCCACGGTAATTATAGGAACCCTTCCATATGTAGTTGGGAGCAAAGACATCATCTGGAACTACGAAAAAGAAGAGAATATGAATTAGATTACGGTCCGCTCCAATCTTTAAAAAACAAAATGAGAATAACTGCCTGCACCAATCAGTCTGTCCTCCTGTGCTGACTCATCATTTTCTCTCTCTGTTTGTCTCCCTCTCTCTTTCTGTCTTGCATGAATCAGTTTTGTGTGCGTCATTAATCTGGCCTTGTGGGGTGTGACTTGTCTGGGGTTCCTGCCACTCACCTGTGTGGAGTCTGCTGTTACTACTTAAGGCGATGATCTGTCTTCAGTTTTCGCTGCATTGTTGACCTCAACATAGTTAGCTAAACTGGCTCTCTTCTTTGCCGTTTTGCCCTGCCTTCATCCCTTTATCTATGCTACTTACATTTTATTGCTCTCTGCAGGGCGTCCTGGTGGTTGGATAGAGAGAGTGAGCTAAGCCTTCTTTTACTGGGCTCCTTGCCTTTGCTTTATTAACTCTTTCTGTTAAACTTTTCGCCAGGCAACAGGCAGGTGGTTTTAATGTTGTAGCAAACTGATGTATATAACTGCTCAGCATGTGTGCATTTTATGCAGATAAGTGCACACAGTATGGCAGAAAAAGACAAGCATAAAGAAGAGCAGAATTTCACAGTAGTTAATTTACCTTTCTCTGTGTAGTGAGGAAAAATAAATTATTTAGAACTACCATAGAAAGCAGTAAAGTGCAACAAAATCGACAAGAGCATAAGAAAAACAAGAGCAGCACTGTGGAGCAGAACGTAGCAGAGTGAAAAGGAGCTGAGCTGAATTTATCGAACGACAGATTAAGCCAGACTAAAACGGAATAGATAAGTCAACAATAGACAAGGAATGAAAAGACTGGAATAGGAAAGACAGTAGTAGAACTGACCGTTTAGTTTGGGGCTGGGGGTTCCTGTTACTGGCTTCACAGGTTTCTTCTTCTCTCCGGCTACACACAGCCAGAGAAAGAGAAAAAGAAGATAATGTCATATCAAAACTCCTGAGCAGGGCAGCAGGGGCACAGCACGAAATATTTTAAAATGCTTTAGTTTGCAGCCAACCTCCCTAATCAACCATGTTATCCAGGGGAGAGTGCAATTCATACTAACAAGTAACCACATTAAAATGCAGCGGCAGTCACTCTTGGTCACAACGACGAGTGAGAAGTGGGCTGAAAAAGGGTCGAGCAAGACAAACCTATTTACTGGTTACTTGTAGATTGAAATGCAAATAAGGTTAATGATCAATGACCAATAACTGCTGTGTATATTAGATCCTTTTAAAACCGGCTTCAAGACACTTTTTCTATTCACCATTAGCAGCTTGTACTATCACGTCAAGATGCAGCTATTGTTGGCAACAAATACATGCAAGCCAGGAACAGGTTATTTGTCCGAGAACCTTAAATTGGATTTAGAAGTGCTCCAATTTTGAAGACTACTCCAGGGCAGCTGGGTGGTAGCCGTGGTGGAAGGTTTCAGAAAAGACAGTGTGTGAGCATGTGTCGATACCAAGTAAAAGATTTTAAAGAGTGCCAACTACATATTTATAGCAGAGATGATGCTGATTTCTTCTATATGATCAAAGCACCTACCAAATTGACCTTTTTGTGAGATTTGAAGAGTGGACTTTAAACTTTTTGGCTCAAATGTTCAGTGTTTCCATCATTTCAAATCAAATCAATCAAATCAAATCACTTTTATTGTCACATTTTTCATAAATTGTGAGACAATACGAAGAGATAATTGTAGCATTGTTTGCTAGGCAGTGGATTGTTATTGATATTGATATTTTACAGTATTAACTATGTACAGTACGGGATGGTTATGTTGCAATTCTTTCATTTCTTCTGCGATGGCTCACAAGGTTGTAGTTTAAGCTTGATAAAGCAGGATTAATGCATGACTTCACCTTTATGGCCCTGCCTGGTAAATCTAGCAAAGGGACAAAACACCATGGGACATTTTTGATCTGTTTTGCCTTTGAACCACCAGGCTCACCACCAATCCAAAGGCTGATCAACCCAACAGGAAATCTCCCCCTACTCCAGATGGCTTGTCTGTCCCTGTGTGTGAAGTGACAAAGTCTCCTTGGGCTAAACATGCTCAAACACTGCTATCTGGTCACTTAAGCTAAAATGCTCCAGATAAGATAATCAAAAAAAGATACACTTAAAGGAAATGTGAACAATGGAAATGACTGTAGCAGGACAGAAGTACTTACCCCGACATATCGGCATCTTTCCAGTCCAAGTGCTGTCACTCTTGCAGACCCTGTGTTCAGAACCCCCCGCCAGGAAGTAGCCATGCTGACAGCTGTACACCAAGGTGTAGCCAAACCCAGGAAGATCCATCCCTACCACGTCCACATGGAGTGGGCTCTCCGGCTGCTTGCAGGCGTGGGCTGCGGGGTTTAGACAGATACATTGTTACACTTCAGTGAGAGTCTGAAGGGATGAAAGGGTGAGCGGCTGACAAATTGAAACAGTGTGTTTCGTACGTATGCACTCGGGTTGCGTCCCACTCCATGTTAGATCAGGCTGACAGGTTCTGGAGGAAGATCCCTGAATCAAATGACCAGGCTGGCACTGAAATGACACCACACTCCCAACCTAGGCATAAGGACACAGACAGAAGTGCACACAGAAGCCATTAGAGACATTGTAACAGATCTGATTGGTAAAGAGGAGTCTGAATATCTTCAGAGGAGCATCATAGTGTTGTACTGCTAGGATAAATGCTACTCGTATTTCAACAAGTGAATTCGTGTGGATAAAGACCAGTATTTTAATATGAAGTACATTAAAATAGATGTTTAGTTGTGGTTGTGGCATGTCAATGCAAATGCACAAGCATCCATTGTACTCCTTAAAATATTAGAAGTATAAAATCAACTTGCATTCCCCGTTCATCAAGACTTAATTTGAGACAAATCAAAAGCAATGAAGTTTGCTACCTGGCAATGCTGTAATATTTATCAGCCATTAGATATTTTCCCTCCTGTGCCGTAGCAGGAAGCAATCCTTATAAAATATCTTACTTGCTTTCTTCCTGCCAAATAACAAATTAACAGTGAATTATTAGTTATTTGGTTGAAATGACTATAATTTTTTGGTAATAGGTAAGCAGGTTGTTCTCCAAGAATCTTGAAGGATTTCCTATAGTTCTTGGGTTTGGGAATTCAAGTAGTTTCAGAAGCATCCCACACTGTTTGAGATCAGCACTCTGTGGGTGGCAAATCATCTGTTGCAGGACTCCTTGCTCCTGTTGTCACAGAATATGCTTCTTTATGACTCTGGCTGTATGTCTGGAGCCATTACCATACTGCAAGTGGTTTAGGACTGACAAGATGCTTCCCTGATGGCATTGCACGGTGGATAAGAATCTTAAAGCGCTGCATTTGAATGTCTTAACATTTTATTTTCTTCCTGACTCCCTCTACTGCCTTTCGTTCTTTCCTCTCTCTTTCATTTGCAACAGCTGCTATTAGTTACTGGGTTCACTTCTTGGGTAGAAAGACACGGCACTAGTCTGAGAGTGCAGATTTACCTTGAAACCATAGGTCCGATTCAAGGAGCCGTAGCGTGGTGTTCCCGGATTATCGCAGCTGGTTTTGGTTGGTTCTGAAAAGATCAGCACACGAGTGGAAGTAATTACACACAAAAAATAGGAGAAAGACAAATTAGCAGCAGCGTTATACATCCCTCTCAAGTTCCCTTTCCTCCCTTTTGTTGTCATGGTAACAGTGGATTATATATGCCATCAGGACAGCAGGGGGCAGTAGCACTTTGTCAGAAAACGAAGCAGGGCCCACTCTAAGTGTGTGTGTGTGTGTGTGTGTACGTATGTGAGTTTGTGTGTGCGCATGTGGAAGGGTCATCAGCATGTAGAGCACATCCTGACGCAGAGCTCAATTCAATACAGCTTCTGAAATGACAGATTCACTCTCCACCTCTCTCTCTCTCCTTCCCTCACTTCCTGTACCTATCTGTCTGCCCTCTTCCTCTCTTTCACTGTTGTCTTCTTCTACCTCGCTGTACAACTGCTCTTTTCCGCTCTTTTTCTGTCTTTCCATGTCACCAGACCTCCGTTTGCCAACTGCTTCTTCCCTCATCTGTCTCATTTAAAGAGCAGGCTGCTTTAAGTCAAAACTCATTCTGTTTCAGTCACATAGTAATACACATCAGACACTAACATCACAAACTAATAAATCAACCAAAACACACACACACTTCAGATCACTTTGCCCATAAAAACACACCGAGAGTCACTTTGTGGTTGCGTGTGTTTAACAGTCTCAGTCTACAAAAGCAATTATGATACAGAACAGAAAGACCTCCCTTCAGCGGCAGCAGCAGCAAACTGAAACTAGTTCTTATTGCAGCAGTTATAGATGAAGTCTTTATATCAGATGGGGTAACAATTTAAAGACAGCCCGTTGTTTTCAGATAGTCTGTTTCCCATTTGAGCAGCTGTAAAAGTAGTTGCTGTATCCCTTATTGAGTGCTGCAAAGTAAGAAAAAAAAGGTCTTTGTTGGCATTTACAATAGCTCTCATTTATTAAAATTCATTACCATGCACCTGCTCTGAATCAGACACGCCAAGTGTTGCTCTAAACATTGCATGGGCTGGTAAATTGACTCACAGGGACCATTTGTAAAGTGTGCCGAATATCCCTTCTCATTTTCTTCTTAATCCCCAGATAGCAGCCGTTTGTTTGAAGTTGGATGTGGATGTCTGCTTCTTGAAGGCATTTACTAAATACTGTAAGTTACAGCATGTGCTGGTGTTAACTCAACTTCTGAGCAAGCACTTTTGCTGTAAGTTCCAAAACAGGTTTTATAGCCCTACTTTTAAATTCTGAATTTTATCTAATATGTTGCTAATTGAACTTTGACCACTAGCAATCAGATCTCAGAGACAAGGAATTCGATATTCAATTTATGCAGTATACAGTATTACATCATATATTTTTAAAGTTGACTTTATGTCTAGTATAATACACACAGCATACAATACTGTTCAAAAGTCTCAAGCCACCCCTCATTTTTAGATTTTGCTTCCACAGAGCAAAACTTTCTTATAATTTTTAAAGCATAAGGAAGTCACTCACTTAAACTCCCTTAACACTGACCCAAGGATAGTTATAGCATAAAAAGACTCTTAACTCAAGGGAATAAACCAGTGCTGTGTCTACATGTAACAAAAAACTAAAGAACCACTTGTGTTTTTAGGCTCTTTGTTATGATCAGCCGATCGCAAAGCACACATAATTTGTTTCACTTTCTTTGGTTGAATCTATGAAAAATTTAAAAGATAACACAATTTGACAGGAATAAAACAGTGTTTTTGCAAAAACAAACAAATTCCCAAAGAGCTATTAGCCAGAAGCTTGGGACACTCCACGGTGTGCAGAGTGCTCCTAAAAAGTTTGAGGAAACTTTTTTTTTTTTGAGGACAAAATCTACAGCAGATGAACAACGTCTGCAAGTTATGTCCTTATGAAATAGAAAAAGAAATACAGCCAAGACCTGAGCAGAACTGAAGAGCACCTTCAGCTGATCCATCTACTGTTCACTGAAGCCTCCTCACAAATGGTCTCAGTGGAAGGGTGACACTCAAGGCTGATGTATGAGTGGAAAACAGGTCTTATATAGTGAGTGTCTACAATGTCTGTAGAAGAAAGTGGATGGTCTGTCCTGGAACAGAAGGCAGCCGACATCCAAAGAGCTTTGAATGTCCTTCAAGAAGCCTGGAAAACTATTCCTGAAGACTATTTAAAGAAATGACAAGGAAGCTTGCCTAAGAGAGGTCAGGTTGTGTTGAAGAATAAAAAGGTGGTCAAACCTAATATTGACTTTCAAGCTTATCAGTACTGTTCAATCTCTGTTTTGACACATAAACTTTACTTCCCTGTATTCTTGTAAATATTTCAATAAAACACTGCACCCATTTCCAGGAAAATATAAAGAAATGAGAGGTGGCTCGAGACTTTTGCACAGTGCTGTAGTTTTGTAATATAAATGAGTTTTCATTGTTACAGTTCAACAGAGAAAACATATGGGAATATGTTTGCATGGTATGCTTGCAAATGGCCTTTGGGAGAGAGTCCGCTGGAAGGAACAATATTTTCACTCATATCCAAGTTCTCCTTTCAGGTACTCTTGCCCTTCCATTTATTAAGATTGTCTCAAATGAGTCACTATTCATTGCTATTCCAATAAGTTGATGTAACACTAACTTTTAAAGAACAGCAGTTGCTCGGCACAGAATACTCATGAGTAAACAAAAATGAGGCTGTCAGGTTCATAATTTTGGGTCATTAACTGTCATGATCATTAGGCAGGGGGCTATCAGACGAACACTAGAATAGCCAGCAAATGAAAAAAAGTAACATCAAGTCATTATATTAATGATTATTATTAATCAAAAAGGAAACGTATGTATCGCAAAGGGGCCACATTAAAAACAAGTCTGTAATATTACACTTTGATATGTTATTTAAAAAGACGATATGCATTTTACTAGAGTGACCTCTTGAGAAATCTCACTCAGAAGTTTGGAAGCTCTGTTGGCTAAACCAACACCGCCTTTTAATTTTAACCCTGACTTTGAAGTGGGATGCTAGGCTATGCTCCAGCTCATGTGGGGATAAATGATTGATGATGAAGTCAGGAACTGTTAAAAAGCAATCAGTAAAATCTTATATAAACTTCTGGCAGAGGTTATAGGCCTTGGTATTGTATTTTAAACATGTTGAAGACTTAGTTGGCACAGTAACACTGGTGATTTTTTCATGAACTTGTACATTTATTAAGAAACACAGCGTAGAGCATTCTATGGGTCTCAGCATTGCATCTCTCTGTAGACCTTTTCGATAGAGACCAAGTTTCAGTTTAAATATTAAAACCTTAAAGCAGAAGTGGCTTTCCTAGCCTCCCTGTTTACTTACTCATTCATAAGGTTGATCTTTATTTAAAAGCAAAATTGTGCCAATTAGAGGCTATAATCCAACAACAGCCAGTTCTAACCAAGACCTAAAGTCATTTTGCTACCTTATGGCAATTAAAACTGAGTGATCACATTATTATGGAAAATCAAAGGAGCATAAAAGTAAATATTTAACACCCTGTTATAGAGTTCACATATCAGCCAAGTGCATGAAGTTTAGCAGGCCTATAAATTTCTCTAAACTAAAATAATTAACAAGAGCAGATGGATTCCAGGAAATGTCAGGTCAGGACATTGCCTGAAGCCACTCTTTGCCACATGTAGCTCAGAAAAGGAGTTAAACATGTCGCTGACTTCTCACTACTGAAAATACTGTTTGTTTTTGGCTAGAGAGCTGCCTTGTTAGAGCAGGAGGAGGTAGCACAGATGACGGCCGCTCTCTCGCTGTGAAATCTATCAAATGCTCTCTTCTCATGTGCACACAATTGGATGTCACACAGACTCTGTATGAGGAAGCTGGGAGGTTAAAGACTGAACGGACCTTCTACAGCTCTGCCGAGTGATGTGTAGAAAAGTTCAGAGCACCACGTCTTCTCATGAGCTAATGTCTTCCTAATTACCATTTTTCAATGAGCTGAATGTTTTGTATGGTTGTCAAGTGAATACGAATGGATTACCGATACAGCGCGGCTGCGTTCCACTCCAGGTGCCATCGCTTTCACAAAGTCTAGTTGCTGTGCCGACCAGTATGAGAGGCGGAGCACAGCTGAAGGACACTTCTGATTGATAGATGAAACTTCGTCCCTCTCTGAAACCACCTACTGGAGTCCCCAGGTCACCACAAAATTTGGCTGCAAACACGGAGACAAACACACAAAGTCCCATTTCAATTGTGGTGCTAGAAATGGTGAATGTGCTCAATTTTATGGAAGTTCAAGGACAAAAGTAGATTTTGCTCCATTTGTGATGGGTGTAATTGATGTGTCCTTACAACCAAAGTTCAATGTGATGCTTACGTAAGCACTGCGGGAGCATGCCGCTCCAGGTGCCATTGGCGACACAGGTCAGAACAGCTGGAAATGAGAGCTCATATCCAGGTGAACAACTATAGCTCACGCTGCTGCCCCATTCAAAGTCACTGCCCTGCAGTACCCCATTACTGATGGCAGGTGGAGCCGAGCAGGTCACAGCTGGGGGAAAAAGAGGGGGAAGGGTTGGGAAAGAGAGTGAAGCGGGAAAAGTGTTGTTTAGAACAGCTGCAGTTGATGCTCTTTTTTAGTTTGCATGACTGCACTGTAAAATCACGTGAGAAAATAAGACTTAAGGTTTTAGTAGTCGATTAACCACTGATTTAAAAATAAGTTTATAGTTTTAGTAAAAAGTGAACATAAACATCTTCTTATCTTGGACTTCCCAGACATTCAGTTACATCCAGTAACTGCTTACATTCAATTCAGTTTAAATGTATCATGTGAGACTTGTGTACATTAACAGCTGTATTAGAGGTGACAGTGATGTGACTGCTTGCATTTGTTATTTCTTTTCCTAGAGGCATTAACTACAAACTTAGCAGAATCTGCTGTCAATACAGAGAAAACTGGGGTTATACATTGTTTAATGTGTACTTGGAGCTCACTTAAAGCACTTGCACCACAGTAAGTGTACAGGTAGGATTTTTCTGTAGCAGAACCTCCTCTCTATAGCAATATTGTTTGATTGTTTTATGGCATACAAAAAAACACAATCTTCTACAAATGCCCCAAAATAGCTTTGTTCAAGAAACACTCTGTTTAAATCCCTATTCATCCAAGCCTGACCACAGGTCTATGGTACTATCAACAAATGATAAAACAGTCATACTGTTGAGTACTGGTGAGTGATTGTCTGATAACCACTGTTTGCTACACTGTAATCTGTATGTAAGTCTATTCTGTGACTGGTTGGCAAGTGGTTGCTGACAGTCACTAGCATGAAATTAGTATATGGTGCTGCACTGCAAACATCCCTGTTTCTGCTTTGCGTAAAACTTTTTACAGCTTCACTACGACTTGATGAGTGGAACTTATCTAAGTTTAACTACAGCTTTGTTTGACAGTAAAATAGATCTAACAGCGGGTATACAGTAAAGCACAACTTTTGCATCTGTCCACTGCTATTAAACAAACATATGTCGTATAATGATGAACAAATCTGTTGGATTTAAATAAGAATAAAATAATAAAAGAAGCATAAAGATGTATTTAACTGCATCAGTGTGTTCACTCTAAGGTTTATAGTTATATGCAGAGCACTGCAACTACCTACAACATTACTGCAAAGCACAAATAAAGGGACCACCAAACAATTTTTATATACTTTAGCCTTTATAGCAATGCCAATGCTAGCTAGCGAGCTAGCTTTATGTATTGATATTATTAGGTTCTGCATGTGTGTTTTTGTTTGCCAGAACAGAGCTAATAGGATGTTTAGTAATGGGAGTATCTGAAGTGGAACAGAGCAATTTAAAGGGTCTGTTTTGCTACTGTGTAATAGCAGTATAAGTACTGTTTAAGGGTTGAACAGAGTTAAGAGTTTGAATGTATAATTTACCTGTACATAGTGGCATATTTCCATTCCAAGTCCCATTTTGGGTGCACATCCTCACAGGCGACCCATCCTCCTCCATTCTATATCCCGGTTGGCACTGGAATGAAACATTCTGACCAATGGTGAAGTCCTCTCCATAGCGAAGCCCATTAGCCGGCACGCCAGGGTCGCCACAGTTTATCACTATGGAGACGGACAAGTGGGGTTAAAGTGGACAACATGAGATAGAGATCAAAATTACTTTATAGGTCATACTATGGCACAAGGTAAATTTAATTTTGTTTCTATTCATTAATCTAGACTCTATCCATACAGGCAATTTAATAATAAAAAGTGAAAGAAAGAGGACACCAAAGGTGACAGATGTAATAAACTAACAGATAAAGAAAGAGGAAAGGTAAGTTAGGGTGCAAAGAAGGTGAAGTGTGAAAAATATTCAGGCCCTAAAGTACTGATCAGATTAAATCTAGATGAAAATATCAGAAAATGATACCTCAGGAATCTTAGTTTTAAAACTGCTATATTAGAGTAGAGGGAAAATATTAAGTAATTATCTCCAATAAAGCTTCTTCTCTTGAAAGTGGTGAGTTTGCAGTCGATAGCAAATTCCTGATCAGACTGTGTGATCTCATCACATTTCTGTGTGGGTTTCACTTCTCATGAATGAAACAACAGTGATATTAAAAATGGCCGAGGTTGTCCTGGGACTCTTTTAAGGAGCATTAGGATTCCCCAGACTGTACTTTTTAGGCACTGTCCTTCATAGTCTAATAGGCAGCTTAAATGCTTCTAAACCCACCCCAGATAGTGTCATGCCTGTTAATAGATGTGGAGTAGTCTACTGTAAAAGCCATTTCCTTTAAATCAGGTATTCTTATATACTTTTTCAATCTAGGAACTGATATCGAAGAATTTATAGCATTTCTGATTTAAGCTTTTTTTTCATGCTACTGCATATCTGGATACTGGAAAGCATTAATATAATCTGGGAATTCTCTGTGATGTCCCATTATCAAGAAGAACTTTTGGACACAGTATATAGATATATGTTAGAGGCATTTTCTTTTAATACATTATTGTTTTTTACTATTTTTTGAGTCATTTTTTACATTTCAGCAAAATACTGTCTTTCCTTTGGCAAATTAACTCAGTGGCTTTTTGTTGAATCTTCAACATTTTAGAGTAAAACAGTCAATTTCTTAGACGTTACTTACCACTGTTGGGTGGAACCACTTGACACAACTTTTTAAAGTAAACCTCCAAAGCATTTTTTGGAGTGCACAGTATTTAATTGAAATAAGACAAATTATTCAAATAAACTTAAAAAAACAACTTATCTGTTAAGTAAATTCCACTTGCTCAACTATGACTTTGCTTATATCTCATATGGTAACAGAAGGTTACGTTTTATGGCTATTTACACTTGGAGACTTTCCCCACAGATTCAATAAGCAAAATTAACTCAAGTAAACGATGATCAAGGTTATATAAGTCACTCTGTTGTCTGCAATAAAAATATAAAGATTTGAGGCTTATTTCTTTACTCCTATACTGTGGCATCATAATTTAAAAGAGGACATAAAACAGCGTCGCCTGTGCTTTCTAATCTCACACCCAGAATTTGGTGACATTTATTGGTTGCAAACTTTCATGGTATTACAAGAGATTTAATACACCAATTACATATATAGAGTGTAATTATTGCATACAGTTGAAAACTCTTCAAAGTCACCTCATGATTGCATGGACAAAATATTGAAAATACACCAACAAATGTACTAGACAGTACTTATATATGTATCAACCTATTGGTCAAATCAAAGCAGATAACTTACTGGTACAGTTGGGCTGTGTGCCTGACCAGGTACCATTGGCTTGACACTGTCTGGTGGTGGGACCAGTGAGCAGATAGCCATCCATGCACGAGTAGATGACAGAGTGAGAAAATGTTGTTCCATCCAAACGAAATACTTTGCCGTTACTGGGAGTGCCAGGGTTACCACACTGAACAGCTGCAGGACAGAGAAATGGAAAAGACCTCAGCAAGTGTCACCTCTAAGACAGTGGAAACACTGAAACACGTGTGGGTTCATAATCATTGAATAATTGACAAGGTACCATTTCAGGATAGATTTAAATCAATTAGAAATATCCCCGTACGTTTACAAAAGGGTTGCGTGCCCGACCAGGTCCCATTCGGGAAACACATCCTCTCTGAAGAACCTATAAGTTCATATCCCTCTGAGCAGGAAAAGTAGACCTTAGAACGGATCCTGAAATCTGTTTGTTCTCTTGAACCATGAGAGGGAATGCCAGGGTCCCCACACGAACCAGTAGTGTCACCTACATGGAAACAAAAAAGGATACAGACTTAGGTCCCTCACAGGTTTCTTACTGGTTTGTACCGAATTAAGGATTACACTTAAAGATGCTAATCCTTGAGTCAGTACACACTGTCTGTATAATGAGCTGTGTTTCAAAAATGACTCCAACTTATCAAAGCAAAGAAATGGAGAAAGAAACAACTTTGGTTCATTATTTGTAGGGTGAGGAAAACAAAACTGCAAACCGGACAAAGGATTTTAAAAGAAACATCTAATGGCTGCTTCTAAATATCAACGGGGTGCATATAGATTGTGCATATGCATGTGTGTGCATGTGTGCTGATGAGTAAATAGGCAGCGGTGCATGTGTTTGTCTTTGTGAGTGTGTGCGAGAGAACCTAGCTCTGTCCTTCTAGAGCTGCCTGGTCAGCAAATTGTGTCTGACAAGCAGAGCACACTCCTGGGAACACACACTTTCACACACAAAAAAGCTCACATCATCACACAAATACCAAGGCCTGGACTAATATATTTCTGCTCAAACATTTCAGATCAGTACTGCCTATTTTGTTAACGGTCTAAAAATTGCACCGGATTATGTGTGAGTGTGAATAATATCATAACTTGATTCATGTTTGTTAGATTTGGATTGCTAATTATGTTTTCAATTTGTTGCCTCCATTCACATTTATTGTTGACAATTAATTCAAAGTGTACAAGTATCTGCTTGCGTTTTTGTGTTTTTGACTCATACTTCTGAAAAAAATAACCTCAATTCACATTGGCTCTGTTTGTATTATAGTACAAATATCTAGAGGCTTGCTGCTAAATTGAGCTTACGCGTAGCAGAGACACAACATTTAATGATATAACATCTTTTGTAATGCCTTAGGATTTTAAACTCGGTTTCTCAGATGTAAATAAATAATATTCTACTCAATAAGTCTCTCTTATTTGCCTCAGAAACTTGAAAAAATAGCAGGTAAGAATGTAAAAACAGGAGGGAAAGAGCATATGTAGATGCTCTTACACATCTATATAAACTTACCCTACTAACCTAAACAAATGAAACCAAAAAAGATTTAAATAAAATTCATCTTTTTATAATCTTTAACCCTTTAAACTCTAACCTAATTTACCCTTTAAACCCGGGGTAGGCAACTCCAGGCCTCCTGCAGGTTTTAGATGTGTCTTTGATCCAACACATCTGATTTAAATGGACAAATTACCTCCTCAACATGTCTTGAAGGTCTCCAGAGGCCTGGTAATGAACTAATCATTTGATTCAGGTATGTTGACACAGGGTGATATCTAAAACCTGCAGGACAACGGCCCTTGAGGTCTGGAGTTCCCCACCCCTGCTTTAAAGGGTTAAGAAGAGAATTTCCAGGTGGAGCCAAGCAGTTGAAGGCTTCCATTTGGTAGCCTCGAGATCTCATCTCTGCTGTTGCAGATGTTGTGGTTCTCTTGGCTTCATCAGATGGTAGGTCACATTGGAAGGGTTCGCAGGTAAGTGTAAAGCAGCTGGAGAACTAGCACCTCGAAGTCTGAGACCACGGTTCACAGCTGGAAAAATGGTTGCTTGCACACTCAAGGTCTTGTTCACAAGTCAGGGAAGCAGGAGATTGAAACGGGCCACATGTGCAGTCATGTGGATGCTATACTGGTCAGTTGTGGTTTACCAGTCAATCTACATCCCCTCCCTGACCTATCGTACCAAGCTCTGGATACTGAGCAAAAGAATGAGACTGCGGATACAATTGGGCAAAAGAAGTGTTTAGATATAGGGTGAAAGGTTCAGTCGTTCTGGGGGGACTCGGAGTAGAGCTGCTATTCCTCCACATCAAAAAGTGTGGTTCATTCATCTGACTCTTGGGTGAGATATTGTCCTACTGGGAGGAATGCTCAGGGTTAGACTCAGGACATGGTGGATAGATTATTACTCTTGGCTAGTTTGGGAATCCTAGGTGTTCCCCTGGAGGAGTTGCCTACGGAGAAGGAGGTCTGGTCCCCTGTGACCTGGCCCTGCATAATTGGCAGAAGCTGGATGGATGAATTGTTGGATGGATGGGTGAAGGTACTTAGTTTTCCAGTAAGCACAGATTAAGGAATAGCTCAACATTTTGGAAAATGCATTTTTTTGCTTTGCACTCTTCTTTACAGCTTTCAGCTAATACCTTAGCATTAGGACTCCGGATACACAGGATAAACATTGGCCTGGCTCTGGCCAAATGCAATGAAATCCATCCAACGCTTTGAAAGAGGAATTAATACAGCATTTCATTTGTTCAATGTGAAAAAGGATTTAAGAGTAAAAGTGACTATTTGTGACCTACTGAAGTGGCACACTCAGTGTCCTGTGAAATCACACCTTTCTTTTACTTGAGGTTTTTGTTCGGATCAAGCAAACAGTAGAGGGCATAGAGCTTTTTAGGTTTTGGAGGTTAGAGGCTTGTTTAACCTTTGAAGGGAGAAAAGCTGTTTCACCAGCCTTCCCAGTTATAGCTTCATTTTTAATGGACAAACCTGTGAGTGGTTTAAAAAATCTCGTGTAGCTCTCAGCATGACAGGACGTAAGTGTAAAAATCCTAAGATATTCAGGTATTGCTTAAAGCTTCTGCAGATGGTAGACAACTACAGTTTGGCTCAGTTATGAAACCCAAGCCATGTTCAATTATACAAATTCAGCCAACTCTGAACTGTTAATAAATAAATTCCAAACAGGCTGAAACTCTCCCTGGCATGCTGATTATTAGAATACCATAGGCTGTTTGAATACTTTTGTTAGAAACTGTGGCATAACAACTTGTTATTTTCAGCATGGCAAAAGCCAAGGTCTTTCATTTCATAGGCCTAATAAATAAATACTCAAGATAAGTGGCAAGGTCGGCTTGTGAATTGAATTTGCAAATCTAAGATCTTTGAGAGCCAAGTCTCAAGTAGCTCTACGCTCACAGCCTGAAAATATCATCAAATATCACAAACAGCATCACTTCATATATGCGTTATCTCATCAGCTATCATCAGGCAGAATAACAGAACAAGCTGTGCTGCTGTTGGACTGAACTCTCATGTCTGCAGATCTTTGGTATGGACCTGCCAGGTGAAAACATGAATCACCGCTTCTTAAACTATTACCCTGCCTCACTCCCCAAGTCTCCCTGGGCAATTGCTGTAAATAACAATGTATTCTTAGTCAACTCGTCTGGAATGCATTTTCACTCAGTTTGTTATATAAGCGGCAGCTGGGAGCCTCTCAGTCTGGAGAGCCACAATCATGCCCCCAGCAGGCCAACTGAGTGTCACATAACTTAGATGGTTTGTTTACACATGAGGGAAGGTAAGGAGGCTTTCTGTCTGGAGAGACGGTCTAGCCCAGTGAGTAGTGAGATATGCATATACAGCAAATACAGCAGGGACTGAAAGCTTGTGTAAAGCACTTTACAGAACAATGAGTGTTGCAGCTACACTCCACAACATTGTAATAAAATCCACTCACTGTAGAAAAGGAAACACAGCTAATACTTGAGAAAATGCAAAACTACAAATAAGCTGAAATATTTCAGTATTTGAACATGTACTTTAAGAACCTACTTACTTTACTACACTGTATCGATCATATCATAGAATCCCTCATAAAAGCAGGTTAAACATTTCTGAAACACAGTGAAACTGGCTCATGGTTAGTTGACCAGAAGAGAAATGCACATGGTTAAGAGTCCACGACTGAGGTGACTGTAAGTGTGGGGTAAAGTTAATCTCCGGAGCCCTTTTAACAGACAGATACTGATATACTCTCTTTTCTAGTGCCAAGTCTTCCTTCCATATGTTCACCCATCCCTTCCATTATCCCTGACTGAAAGGTTCAGGAAAGTGTCTGCTGGATATAAAAGCATGAAGCTCTCCGCACTTCAGTCTGCATGTTTAGACGTTTCGATTTTCATCTACAACTGCTATCTATATATTCGTCTTTCTGATAGGGTGGACGTTAAAGTCTGTGTATTCAACAGAGGTTAAAATGGTTACCAGAGCAGAATGGCATGGGGGCACTCCACATCCCATTGAGCTGACAAGTCCGGGATGATTCTCCTTTCAGCTGTCTTCCGCCCAGACAAGAATACCGAACCGTTGAACCAAATGTAAACTTATCTCCGCTCAGCACACCGTTTGGGGGAGAGCCGGGATGACCACAGTCTACGACTAGAGAGCCACAGAGGAGAGAAATGAAGAAAACAATGGATGGCTCGTTTTGACTCAGCAAAGCTCTGTGAGAGGAGGTGCAGCTACTTCTGTCAAGAACTAAGGACAGATTAAAAATATATGCAAGGATTAAGGATTAAAAAGCTGACATGACACTGCTTGCTAGGCTTTAAGGGAATCTTAAGAGTAACATATAAAAAGCAACAAAATGAAAAAAAAATATGCAAGAATCATTTCAATAAATTCCAAACCCAGTCTTGCTAAAATACTGTCTTTCCAAAGATTGTGAGGAAGAGAGAACGATACTAACCTATGCATTCAGGTAGCGGTTTGTCCCATTGTCCAGTAGGTTGACAGGTCAGTACAGGTGATCCAAACAGGTAATACCCAGGATTGCAGTCATAGAAAACCACTGTGCCAAAGGTAAAGTTGCCATGCTCTATTTTGCTCTGCCGGATTGAGTTGGCTGGGATACCTGGATCAGAGCAGTTGACCACTATACACAGGGACACACGCAGAGACACACAAGCACAGACACACAAGCACAGACACAGAGACAGAAAAGCATGTGTTATTTGGCATGAACCAGAGAGGGCAATCTCTCTTCCCCCTCTTCATTTTCCCTATTTGGAAAGCGGTTTTGCAGAGTAGTATAAGGCAGACCAAGGAGGACATGGTGAAGAAGGAACAAAATATCAGACGTGGAGTTTAGGAGGGTTAATGCAGTAGATGCTAAGGGATGAAAGGGTGGTCAGGCAGGTTTGTCTGTAATGGATCCAGAACTCAAGCAGGGTTATGGCTTGTTATCAATGTGCTGCATTTTAATTTTACCCAATTCATTGGCACTTCATTCTGTAAACTGGGCAGAAGGCCGGTAGCTTGTGTACAAACTCGTGCGAGTGAAGCAATTTGAGTTGCTCTGACTGTTATTTGGACAATCAGGGTATGAGATTCATAGCTTACTGAAAAAAAGTTTTTATTCTTGAGACTGGAGCCATGAACAGGTTAGACATATGTTGAGCTCTAAATCTACCTCGAAACTTCATCGAAATTAAGGGAAAAAAGATGTATTTTTATCAAGAAATTAAGTTTTCTGTTACGACGGTAATAATAGAGGAGATTAAGCTGAACAAAGTTAGAGGTAGAGTTGAGGTGGATACAAATGATGGGGATAAATGAGGATGGTTGCTACTGGAGAAGGCACTAACTGTAAATAAAGAAAGAGACTAAGGTGGTATTAAAGGTTGGGGATAAATAAGGTTAGGGGTGAATACACTTAACTTTTCTCCCCACCTTTACACGTTGGGGGTGGGTGGCTCCATTGGCGGTTAGCCTGGCACTGAGCACGTGCAGGCCCCTCCATTTCATAACCCCGATTACAAACAAAGCTGACCACATCGTTGAGATTGAAGCCGTTTCCCACCGTGCGGCCATATATGGGGCTTCCTGGATGGCCGCAGCTGATCGCTAAGGGAAGAAGTGTAAGACAAGAACACGTTTATTTGCACGCAGATTTGTTTCTACAGAGTGACACCATTCTGTTGTTTTTCATGTTGATGTGTAATCCCATGATAGGTTTTTTTCAATGAGATAATTAAATCCTTAAAAAAACATATGCTGAGATCTATGATTTGGTGTTATTTACTAAAATAGTTGAAATATTTAGTTTGTAGCAAGCAATTATTGAACAGAAGTAATCAGTGCATTTGCTTGGGACTGTCTTCACTCTTGATAAGCCACATTTAGTGTACTTACAGCTGTGCCAGTGACACCGATGACTGTTTTGTTAATTTTTCATCTTGTTAATTGAGTCATTGTATGCTATGAGAAAAGAAGGAGGCCGAGGACTAGTTAGTGTCAGAGCCACTGTCCACAATGAGATGACGGACATCAGCAAGATGGCCACAACCGACTGTATGCTTAGTGAATAGCTCAAGCAGCAGAAACCCAAGAAAGAGGAGGAAGGAGAAGAACCATCATGGAAGGACAGGCCCTGCATGGTATGTACCACAGGCAGATAGAGGAAGTGGCTGACATCTAGAAATTACACCAGTTTAGACAAAGCTGAACTGAAAGACAGCACAGAGGCACTAATTATGGCTGCACAGGAACATGCTGTAAGTTCAAGATCCATAGAGGCTGGGGTCTACCACACCAGGTAAGACCCCAGGTGCAGGCTGTGTAAAGACGCCCCTGAGACAATCTTGCACATAACAGCAGGGTGCAAGATGCTAGCAGGCAGGGCATACATGGAACACCATAACCAAGCAGCCGGCATAGTTTATAGCAACATCTGTGCTGAGTATGGCCTGGAAGTCCTTAAGTCAAAATGGGAGATGCCCTTCTAGGGTGACTGAGCTAATTTCCTGTGGGACTTCCAGATACAGCCAGATAAACTGGTGATGGCTAACCAACCAGACTTTGTAGTGATGGAAAGGCAGAGGAAGACGGCCGTAGTGACAGACATAGTCATACTGAATGACAGCAACATCAGTAAGTAGGAACACCAAAAGCTGGAGAAGTACCAAAGGCTCAGAGAAGAGCTCGAGAAGATGTGGAGAGTGAAGGCACCAGTGGTCCCAGTGGTAATCGAAGCACTAGGTGCAGTGACTCCCAATCCCAATCCTGGGCCATTTGACCTCAGTACAGCACATGATAGAATGGGGCTAGGTTTCACAATGGGTTCACCCGAAACCTTGGCTGATTATGACCCACACCCGTTTTCACACCTTGGCTCGTGTGATTAGGTAGAGGATCAATAGGGAGTCCATGACACTCTTGGGGACACTCCCATAGGGCTTAAAATCTGGGACTCTCCACCAGTTGCTCTTAGAACTGAAAAAGCTTCTCGGATGAGAGATGAAAAGTCTTCAAGGAAACTTAAAGAAGTCCAGATGCTTTTCTTTCCAAGCTCCTTAGACTCTCTTAGGCAAACTTTCATCACTTTTTCAGAATGAGATCATTGCCCTTCTGAAAATTGAAGCTGTTGCTAACAGACTCTTTTCATATGATACTGGGTGGTGGATCAAAATTTGTTTTTACATTGTTCATAATTACATCAGTTTTGACAAGTTCTCAAACATCACTGAATAAAATACAGCCCCAAACCATGATATAGCCTCAACCATGGTTTACAGATAGCCGTAGATACTGCTGTGATTTTCCTGACCTACTCCATAAATACTGATGACGATTTAAACAAAAGTTTAAAATTTCTTTCTTCACCTTTTAACAAACAGCTACCCCACCCCCACCCCACCTGCCCAAAATCACCAACTGTCATCCAAAAATCATCAGACATAATGACAGGACTGAAAATGAGAAACTGAAAAAGAGAAACTTTGAAAGACTTTCACAAAGCCCGGAGCACTTTTGCTCTAGACCACTTAAAAAGCTGAAAGAAACTCTGGCGCCTAGGAGATATGAGGAGTGGCTCAAGACCTCTGCACTTGTAGCTTATACAATACATCCCAATTGTAGCTTACCCACTAATGTCATTCACATACATAACTTTATACTGCAAAACCATTTCGTACCACTTGTGTGTCATTCTCTTACTAAATTGCAAAAATCCAATCATGTAAAATGTACTTTTAGACATCAAAGCTACAGAAAGATAGAATCTAAACCAGACATGAAGATCAGAAGATTTGTATTTCTGGCTCGAAAACCACATCAAGTGCAGATTTGGGCCAAATATGTATGCCTTTCCTACAGTCATTCATAAATATTTATGAAAATGTCAGATGACTGAGAAGGCAAAGCTGGGATCCTAATTTAGGGTCATTATTTTGGAGATATTAGGTCTCACCATCTTCTGTGTCAGAACTGAGTGTGCACTGTTTGCAATCGTGCATCATAATTGTTCTTCTTGTTTCATCCACTGAGCCTTCTCGGCATTCATGTGATGTTTGCGTAAACAGGCACTTTAGTGTTACTGCCAGTCACTCTCTTATCTACCTCGCAAACTACAAACCTTTAAATTATTTGGAGAGGAGAGGAGTCTAACCAATGTAAAAGAAAAGGAGTTGGTGGTAAAACACGGTGAAGGAGAAAGTCAGGGAACAGAGAGTAAGAGGACACTAAAGGATGAGAAGACAACAGGGAGAAAGAACAGCTAAGGAGAGGAGAGCAGAGCAGAAATAATGAAGACAAGAGTAGACGAGAGAGGCAGGAGGCAAAGCACTTGATCAGGAAGAATCAGAAGTTTGTTTGCATGCCTAAGATACAAATTTATCTGACACCATCAGCATGCCCTGCAGCTACACACACACACACACACACACACACACACACACACACACACACACACACCATAGTCTCATTACCATTCTGTTTTTGTGTCTCTAAACAAGAGCCTCTCATCTCCATAATTACAGTATAATTTGGCTGTAAAATGATTTCCCTCAATAACTCCTGCATGAATAACCTCAATAAAAACAGCATAGCACTCCGAGATATGCAGAATGATACAGACACTATCTGGACCACATAGACACAGATGAACGCAAAGAAAAGCATATAATAAAGGCCCTATTTTGTACATTGTTTGTTGTTTTATGAGTAATAATGAAAAACAAATGCTCCGTCTACTCTCGAATCATCAACACCGTGACACTACCTCTGTTTTGTAAAGACTGTCTTAATTTAGGGAACAAATGGGCTGCCTCTTTCAGGAAAAGGTGCCTTTAATTGGCTTCATCATCACCACCTCAAATGTGCCCTGTGTGATGCCTAAAAACCTTCACTATGCTCACAGCAAGTAACCAATTTTAGATTTTCACAGTAGCCTGGGCAAGTTAGGCCACTCTGTTTTATTCTTAAACCCAACTACTTATCTCATTTAAGGCATACTAGCATTTTTAACCCTCTGGCCCGATAAGATTTCTGGTGAGAAGCCACAGTTACTCAAGTCTACTCTGTGAATACTTCGAATGAGGATAGCTCTCAAACAATATTTATGTACTGGCTGTAGTAAAAATAAAAATAAAAAAAAGTCCCAAATATCTATATTTCTTTTTAAAATTTGATCTTACTGACAAAAACTAGTGGAGACGTTGGTGGTGCATTCATACACAGTGTTAGAGGTAATGCCACTGCTGGTCATGATTACTGAAATATTCATTTTGCTTTTACGCCATCTTTAACTCAAACATGCATCTACTGTTTGAAACTACAGTACAGTTTCTTAAGCTGACAAATATACTGCTCAGATAAATTAAAAGAACACTTAGAAAACACATCAAATCTCAATGGGAAAAAAACAATGCTGGATATCTATACTGATATAGACTGGGTAATATCTGGGGGGGAAAAGGATGCCACCTTGTTTGAAAGAAATGAAAATTATCAACCTACGAGGGGCTGAATTTAAAGACACCCCACAAATTTAAGTCAAAAAATGATGTGAAGTTCATTAAAGCACCTACACTACAAACCCAGTGGTTTGTATGGGGCCCAAGTGCTTGAAGGCTTGCCCGACAATGTTGGGCCTCCTAATGAGATGATGGAAGGTGTCCTGGGGGATTTCCCCCGACATCAGCAGCGGGGCACCACTGAGCTCCTGGACAGTCTGAGGTACAACCTGGCACCTTCGGATGGACTGAAACATAATGTCCCAGAGATGTTGTGTTGAATTTAAGTAAGGCAAACATCCTCCAGGAACTGTTCACATAGTTCAAGAGGACATGCATTGTCGTGCAGCAGAAGGAGCCTGAGACGCACTCCACCAGCACAGTGGGTCTGAGGATTTCATCCCGACACTTATACCCGATACCTGGCAGTCAGGAAAGATAAAGGTCTGTGCATCCTTTCATAGACATGCCTCCCCATAACTGACCCACAACCAAATAGCACAATGTTCTCGAGGGCTTCTCCACACCCTTTCATGTCTGTCATATATGCTCAGGGTGAACCTGCTCTCATCTGTGAAAAGCACAACGTGCCAGGGGTAACTGCTAACTGGGCTCCATGGTGCCGGGCCTTGAGCACAGGGCCCACTAGAGGACATCGTTCTCTCAGACCACCCTTATGAAGTCTGTTTCTGACTGTTTGGTCAGCGACATCCACACCATTCAGTGGCCTCCACCTGTAAAACTATTCCTGTTTTGGGGGTTGTCTCATTGTTAACAAGCCCCTCTGCTACTTAACTGACCAGATCAATATCCCTGAAGTTTTACTGACTTCATTCTATATGCTGATTAAAAAATGTTCCTTTTATCTTTTTTTAGGATCTGAAGCTTTATAGAAAAAGACTCTCTCTGATAGTTGGGACAAAAGTGAGTTTAATCCTGTGCATAATGTTCTTCTTCATCTTTCCCACTGAACAAAACCTACAGTTGTTTTCAGCATTAAGGCTTCACTTAATGCTGAAAACCATATAGCCATACGTAGCCATGTCGCTACATGTCTGCTCTGCTGCTTTAAGGGCAAATTTAAAGAGCTTAAATTTGAGGTAATTGTGTTTCATCTGAAAACAAAGAAAAAGATCTCAAACTATATTTCAAAAAAGGAAAAGTCTGATTCGACCAAATTCCACTTACTTAAAATTTGAATGATTTACTTGGTGATCTGGATTTCGCCGTATTGGGATTGCTCCCACATCATCATAACTAATGTTAACTAATACTTCAGGTTAACTGCAACTCTTCAGCTTCCCTTTTATGCTGTCATAAGTTTGCAGCTCAGAAGAATAACACTGAAAAACTATGATGATGAGATATGTTTGCCTTCAGTGCTTTCTGAAAAGATTTTAAACAGATGGAGAATTTTGTTCATTTTGGGTGTTTTTAACCAGGAGTACTGACATTACCCCCAAACAGTGAAGTGTATGTAAGTAAGTTTATGTTTCATATCTAATTCTTATAAGATCTGTATGACAAAAATCCAAAATTGGGTTGTCTGAGTATAAAATTCCACATGGTGATCCGGCTGTTAGCACTGTTGCCTCACAACAAGAGAGTCCTGAGTCTGAATACACCATGTGGTCAGGGTCTTTCTGTGTGGAAATGCATGTTCTCCCAATGTCTGCGTAGGTACAAGCAGTGGGGTTAAGATAGGTGTGAATCTGAGTGCAAATGGTTGTCTGGACTGGAAACCTCTCCAGGGTACAGTAGGTACAATTATAATAATGAAAAGGAGATCATCATGATATAAAATTATGTCATCAGTAGTTTTTACTTTCACATGGGACACATCCCCATAAAAATCCCGTGTTTGCTTCCCTTTTGGACTACCTTGCCTGACTTCTTAAAACCAGTCTTTTCCAGTCAGTTTCACAGAATCGCTAAGGTATGACATCAAAATTCAGCAGTTGCACTGATGACCCAAGAGAAATATCAATCATAATCTAGAAACAGAAAGATCTTTCATCACATTTACCAAGACAATTTGCATGTTTTGCTTTGGCGTTCTACTGCAACACCTTACAAATGTTGTCTCACATAGAAGATCTTAATTTGTCAAACATGAGGCCTTTTTCATTGGTATGCCTCCAAAGTGATTTCTAAGATGTATGATATTGATTCTTCAACTCCACAGGCAAGCAAAACATCCAAAATTTAAATGAACTGCTGAGCTCTTTATCAAACCCTTCCTCCAAATTGCCTCTATTTGACTTCATTTTTTTTTGTTATCTGTAGTAGCAAACAGCCAAATTCGTCATAATTTTCCTGATCATGCCTCGGTGCTAAAAAAAAAGGTTTTTATAAGGAGTTAAAGTAATAACCACGGTAACCACTATAGACGTTAGTGGTTACCTTGGTGTATTGTGTGACAAATACGTGTCAGAATCTTTTTCAGAGGTGAGCTCATGTGTTTTCTTACGTATGCAGATGGGTAGTTGTCCAGACCACTGGTTGTCTTGGAGACAGATACGGACTGATGAGCCTATTAGTCGGAACCCAGGGAGACACTGATAAACGACCGTATCACGGTAACCAAAGTTTTCCCCGATAACCTGGCCGTTCACAATGCCTTCTGGGATTCCACAGTGACCAGCTGCAAGAGAGAGATTGTGGGAGGGGTCAGACTGCACACACTAAAACAACTTCATTCATTTGCACTTTTAGTATCTAAAATTTGATTCCTGGTTGTCAACGTTTCCACAAATGTGTCTTTTGTCTTTTATTGCATTGTATTTACTTATTGTTGTTGTGAGCAGGTGCTATAGTGGGTGGCTGTTCGGCAGATATTCAGATAGTTAAAAATTTAATATACCCGTTTTATTTCATCCATAAAATGTCTCTTGGGGTTATATAACAGCTTGGCTTAAGGGCTTGCACACCGAATCAGTTTCATTGTGTGATTCTAAGCAAACACAGCAAATTGGATCAGTTTCTGCGCTATGATCAAGGCTCAGCTGCTCTGTTCCCACTTCAACATTTTCACAACTGTATTACTGCCCTTTCTAACACTTTCAGTGTTCAAATGAAGGCATCTTTGTGCTTTTAAACAATCAAACTTGGTAAAAACTTAACAAGCGGCGTGTGGGGCCCTCTTTTCTCCTTGATCAGATTCATTCACAGAGGTCTGATTGATGCACGGAGCTACCCCAAAATGCTTTAAAAGGCGTTCCACAAAGTTAAAAGAGAATGTGTATTTTCTGCTCTCAGGGATTTTGAATTGAGTATTGATTTTGTTCTTTACAGTAGATAAAACCTGCACCGTGTCCCTGGTGTCAGCAAATGCCAACGATTTAAACACAGCCAGGGAAGTGGAACAGAGGAGAAATGAACGGGCTGCCTGATAATAACTTGCCATTTCAAATTCTGTTTGAGGTGTAGATTACAGAGGTTAAAGGGCACTATTCAAGCGGGTTACACGTTTTACTTTCCTGACTATGTTGCTGAAAACTGTGTGTTGGCAAATAGGAAATCAGTTTAAATTTACAAACAATTACAAAGTTAGAGCAGACAGAAATCATTTCATTTCAAGTAATGTATCACACAACAACACACCTAAAAAAGAAAGCAGTTTAAATGTGGGGTTTTTTTTTTGGTCTGGGGGGGATTATGGGAAGGAAATAAAGTTCACATTTTTTGCTTTTTAGCCTTAACTACTAAAAATGGCATAAATAACTACAGTTGTGCATTTTTAATTTGCAAAATATGCACAGTGAAGGCAAATCAAGGCTAATAAGAAAAGTCATTGAAGGAAAATGCTGTTTATAGCACTTTTCAGGACTTGGTTTATTTATTTCTTGACAGAATCATGCCTCCTCATCAGTTTAGGTTAAGTTTCATTGAACCATTCCTTTATAAATTGCATCTCATATCCCCCCTCAGCCTGTGAAGTATTCTGGGAAGCGCTGCCTCCACTGAGGTTTCACGAAGAAGTGACAACATCGTGTGGTAACATCTGTTACCTCTGGCTGGCATGCTGACAGAAGAAAGCTGCGGGGTTGGCTTTTTTTCTCTGGATTATATAAAAAGAGAAAATTCAAAATGAATTTATAGTGAGTGCACAGCAGCAGCTTGCTCCTGATAGTTTTGCCTGTGTGGTGGACCAGGTCAGAGAGAAGCAGCTGTGCAGCCACACATGAGGAGGAAGGCACATACCTACAGTCGATACCTGCTCTCATTAGATTGACTTGAAAAATCACATCTTTGCAGCTCCGTCTCTACTGGAGGTGTTTCATTGTGTGTGCGAGTATGTATGTAGTGTATTCTGTAAGCCCAAGGCTGAATATTAGTGTCTAGATATACAGGGTGGGCCATTTATATGAATACACTGTAATAACATGGGAATGGTTGGTGATACTAAAGTCCTGTTTGTGGCACATTAGATATGTGAGGGGCAAACTCCTCAAGATGGGTGGTGACCATGGTGGCCATTTAGAAGTCGGCCATCTTGGATACAACTTTTGTTTTTCCAATAGGAAGAGGGCCATGTGACACATCAAACTTATTGGTAATGTCACAAGAAAAACAATGGTGTGCTTGGTTTCAACGTGACTTTATTCTTTCATGAGTTATTTACAAGTTTCTCTTTATTCACAGCCATTGACATGTCAAAGAGGTTAACACGTGAGAAGCGGATCGAAATTGTGTTGATATCTGGTGAACGCAGTAACCCTACGAGACCACCCATCTCCCATGCTACAGTTAGCAAACTGCTTGCTAAGTTTTGTGAAACTGGTTCAGTGTTGGATTTGCCAAAATGTGGACGCAAGAAAACTGTCACTAATGAAGAAACATCAGTGGCTGTCCTAGCTTCATTCAGCAAGAGCCCACAGCATAGCACTCGCCGCATGTCACTGGAGAGTGGCATTAGTCGAACATCCCTTCGGCGGATATTAGCTACTCACAAATGGCACCCTTACAAACTCCAGCTACTGCAGCATTTCAACGAGGATGACCCAGATTGGCGCACAGAATTTGCAGAATGGGCAAAACAAAAATTGGAACAGGACCCTCAGTTCATGCAGAAGATTTTGTTCAGTGATGAGGCAAACTTTTATGTGAATGGTGAAGTTAACAAACAAAACCACCGCTATTGGTCTGACACTAACCCGCATTGGATGGATCCCTCCAAGACTGTTGGAACAACAAAAGTGATGGTTTGGTGTGGTATATGGGGTACAACGATAGTGGGTCCATTCTTCATCAATGGAAACCTCAAGGCCACTGGATATTTGAAATTGCTACATGATGATGTGCTTCCCTCTTTATGCACTGAAGCTGGGACGTTCCCTGAGTTTTTGTGCAGCACCTGAAACTACGGATACTGGATGCCTCTGCTGGCATTTCTCCTGCGGTGTTGCTATCAGTGTGTGAAGAGTGGGAGAAGAGGGTTGCATTGACAATCCAACACAATGGGCAGGACATTGAACACATTTTATAAGTGGTCAGAAACTTGTAAATAACTCATGAAAGAATAAAGTTACGTTGAAACCAAGCATACCATCGTTTTTCTTGTGACATTACCAATAAGTTTGATGTGTCACATGGCCCTCTTCCTATTGGAAAAACAAAAGTTGTATCCAAGATGGCCGACTTCTAAATGGCCACCACGGTCACCACCCATCTGGAGGAGTTTGCCCCCTCACATATGCTAATGTGCCACAAACAGGACTTTAATATCACCAACCATTCCCATGTTATTACAGTGTATCCATATAAATGGCCCACCCTGTACTATAATTTATATTATAGTATATCTTTCAGCACACTCCTGGAGCTGTTGGTACATACCTAAACATCGTGTTTCAGTTCCACTCCAAAGCCCAGATGACAGGCACTCTCTGACAGCTGACCCCACCAGCATGAAGCCAGCATCACAGGTAAAAATGGCTGTAGCACCGAATGTTGTCTGAGTACCAATCTTCTTTCCATTGGGTGGGGATGGCAGCTCACCGCAGGAGATAACTGAAACACACGGTCAGGCACAAGCAATTTAAAAGCAGTTGTGCACCAGTTTAGCACCAAGTTAATTTGTGTAGCTGCTAGAGCTCATTGGCTTCAGTGAGAAATGCTACCAATGCTGGCAAGCTGTTTATCAGGTAAATTTGGTGCCAATAGTGTTTTTCTCTCTTTTTTTTTTTCCTTTTCGTCCTCACACATCGAAAGGCCTGGCAAGGAAAATAATAGCAAATCTCAGAATGTCACAGAATTCTTTAAAGGAAAATGACATTGACTCAAAATGTCACAGAATCCCCACAGAAGAAATAATAGATCATATTCAGTTTAGAAATGTCACTGTGACTCTTCTGAGTTAGATAACAAATTCAAAGCATACAAGTTTTCTTTGTAAATAACCGTCGTCACATTAGTAGAAATAAGACATTAAAATATATTTTAAATCCATTTAAACTTTGTAAAACGGCTTTGTTCCTGGCAGAAATTTTGAACAAAATCGTCAAAACAAGTGTGAATGTGAGTGAATGAATAGTGGTATTGTAAAGCGCTTTGGGTGCCTTGAAAAGCGCTATATAAATCCAATCCATTATTATTATTATTATACCTCTTCTTGTTTGAATTCAGGTGTTTTCAGACCCATTGCTACAGGTCAGTTTGTGAAATTTCTTCCCTCCTTGATTATCTTTGTCGCTTACCCTGACAGTGCGGCCTTTCATTCCTCCAGCTCCAAACTCCGTTGGATAAGCACTCGATGTGGGCGGGGCCTAGCCTGTAGTATCCCGGATCACAGGTGAACACAATACGTGTCTTGTATTCGTAGTGTGACCCATTGACAATCCTCCAGCGGCCATGCTCTAGAGAGAACGACCCGATGCTGGGACATACTACCACTGCAGAGTCAGACAGTATGAAGAGGAAAATAAACCATCATGAAATCTGAATGAAGAACACATATTTTCTGTCGGTTTGCTATATTCATATATGCTTCCATTTGCGATGTTACTCAGATTTGGCATTCATTTTGTTGATATTCTGCCGGTACGTGGGTGTTACTAACCAGAACATCGCGGCATCTTGTTGTGGTTGCTCCATGTTCCATCAGGCTGACAGATGGCTGACGTCAGTTCTTTACTGGAGAGTCTGTACCCATCGTTACAAAAATAGGAAACTCTTGTTCCGACGGAGTAGTCAGATGTTAAAACGCCGCCGTTTATAGGAGCCTTGGGTACCCCGCATGAGACAGCTAAGGGAGGATGGATGCACACTTGTAAGATGACAACAAGCACACAGGCACAGAAAAACTCAAATGCACAGTTATGCCTGTCATATAGGCAGGTTTGATGTCTACCTTTGAAATGTTTATTCAGAATCAAAAACCAGCAAATGTTTTGTATATCTGTAAATCAGCTCCAAGATGTACTTTTATTAAGTTATTAAAGTAAAAAAAAAAGATTAGCAGCAATTACAAGTTGTCTTCTACATGTATAGCTTATAGATGTAGAAGACAACTTTTTAAAAACATCTTTAAAAGGTTTCCCTTTTTATTAAATTAAAATGAAAAAAAAAAACCCACTGCTATTATATTTACTTGGTCAGTCTATCAATCTCTAAATAACAACAAATTAAAGGGTTTGTGATTTTGTGAGATGTGACACCTAAGCTATATCTGTTTATCCATGTCCATACAAAATTGGAAACTGTGCAAGTGCAATAGCTGTGTTTCAGTGTAATATGGGTATGGA